CAGGAGACCTCCAGATGAAGGGAGCTCAGAGCTGAGCCCTGCTAACCACTGTGCTGAAGCAGTGCTGGGACTGTGGACTTTCCCTCACTGGAGGCTTTTAAGAAGAGGCTGGCCGGGCGCCCGGCTGGGCTGGGTTAAGGGCAGGTTTCCCCAAGGCTGTTCAGCTCAGCAGGTCAGAACCAGACTAAGAGCAGGGCTCTCAACCCCACCACCTGGCCAGGGCCCTCTCCCATTTAGTAACATGAGAAGAGCAGTGTTTGTAACAGAGGGAGGGGGCATCGATGCAAGCTGAGAACTCCTGGAGTAAGGTCTTGGACAGGCGTTCAGCCATCCTGGGACAGTTTACCTCAAGTTATTTTCCAATGAAAGCGACACTGGGATCCAGAAGGACACATGCAGCTCACCTGGTGCAGCCCACCCAGGAGGTGGCTTGCGCTGCCTTGCTGCTAGGGGGCCTCTAGCAGGCAGCTACCCCAGGGTGGATGAGGACAGATAATACAAACAGATGCAACTTCTAGCAGGAAGGTTTAACCCCAGACTCTTCCAGGGTCGATTTCTCCACTGGGCTGGCTGAAATTACCCTGGGCAGTGGATTTACACCAACTGTCCACTATGCTTTTAAAGCAATGCAAACATATAGTCTGTACAGGGCATAACATTTCAGCTGGTTTTAGACACATTCCATCTCTCTCTCTCACACACACACCAGCTGTTCTCAACCTTTTTAGGCTCGAGGCCTGCCTCGCAAACCACCAGCCCTTTGCTTTCGTTCATTCTTTGGCTACAGAAAAATACCAGAGCAATTCTGTTGCAAGGTCGAAAGACTGCAGAAAGGCAGAATGGTAATACAATGGATGCTTATTTGAAATCTCTGGGTTTCTCTTGTGAATCATGTGTAGGTGTTTGCACACATAACCATGCTAGTATTACCCAGCACCCCAGAGCACCCTTAAAAGGATCTCAAGGCACTGCAACCCCCTGGCTGAGAATCACTAGTGTGTGCACATACACACACCCACACACCCCAACACAGCAGCATTCAGCAAGCACAACATGCCCCTGCTACCCACGGACCTGCGGAGAGGCCTGGTTTCTTTTGGAATGAGCACATTTATTTCAGAGTATAACTTACAGCTTGGCCAATGTCCCCAGTTCCGGATTCAGTGTATTTACAACACTAGCTGTCGCGGATGTTAGGATTAATGGAGGAGGCTGTGCACTGGTGGGTGGGGTCATTAGAAACCACACAGGCCTGGTCGTTGTGGAAGCAAGTCTCTGCATGCAGAGGCCAGAGAGAGCTCATCTCACCACAGTTAAATAAAGACAATACAGCAAACACGGAGGGAAGGGCACTTGGAGGAAACACACTGGTCCGTTTTGCTGCAGGGCAATGGGCTGACAAGGAGGGCATCTTTGGGCTAATACAGAGCTCCACCGGGCTTCACAGGCCACAAGTGCCCAGCTGCCTAATGTTAGGGACATATCCGCTGGAAGCAGCACTGCCTTCTGTTTGGTATGGATGCCCCTGCTCTCCCCACTGTCTCAGTCCTTTCTCTAACAGAGCCAGAGCTGCAGCTGCGTTGTTCCCAGGTGGCAAATGCTGGGCCAGTCTTGGAGCTGCCCATGTCATAGCACAAGGGTAAAGCCCTCAGGAGTACTTCATCCCAACAACACATGATGCTATCTAGGTGGCAGCTTGGAGCCAAGCCCTGTGGCTAAGGGGACTGGCTTCTCAGGGGCTTCCCTCAAAAAAACCGTCAAGCCAGACCTTCTCAGGCCCGATTGTGTGCAGTGCAGAGTGTTTTCGGCACCCCATGGCCAGGTCCACTCCCACATCACACCCAAATCAGCCTGGAATGAACCCGTTTCACTGAACTGATGCCAATGAAACCCCCTTTACGAGCCTGCCGCCAGCATGGGTGGAGGGGACCCGGCGCCTCTCAGCATCCTGCTCTCCCTGTCGCCTACCCTGCCCTCTGTAGGTCAGCAAATAGCCATCTGGCACTGATGAGAGAACTGCGTGGCTCAAGGGTTACAGCTCTGTTTTCCTTGGGGCAGCTGAGGAGAGCAGAAGGTGGAAGGAAGGGGGATGACTCTTTGGAACATATTTTGACCTGGTGCAAGCCACTGAAGCCAGTATGTAACTAGTGTAAGTGGGAGAAGAGGCCTTCTGCACTTGCTGTGCCTACAGCTGAAAGGCTGCTGGGCACAGCAAGATGCAGCTGTTTCATCTTTAAATTTCCAGGTGGAAGGTTTGGGGGTTTTCCTTTTGGGAAGGACAGAGAAGTTTTAGGATGAGTAGGGTTGTTGCCCCATCAACAAAGGTTAAAAACTGGGAAAACCCTGCTGACCTAGTGCAAGCTAATGAAAGCCCTTGGGTACAGAGAGGCCTGGTTTTGTCAGTGCAAAATGCCTTTCAGCCAAGGCTTTAGGAAATACCAGCCACTTGCAGAGTCAGGGGAAAGAGAGAATGAACTATGCTACTTTGTAAACCTTTTGGGGCAGGGAAGATTCTTTTGTTCTGTGTTGCACAGCATCCAGCGGAGCAGGGCCCTCTGTCCATCATACAAGTTTGGAGGGACATCAGCAACACAAATAATAACTAATTTTTTAGCACCAGTATGTCCAGGCCCAAAACCTGCCACTGGACCCACTCAGGGCCTGGCTTGTGCTATCTGAATGGGCAGAACACGCCTTACAGGGGTGGAAAAAAAAAGGCTTTCCAGGGTTTTAAATACTGAAACAGGTTATCCAAAGAGGTTGTGGAATTTCCATCCTTGGAGGTTTTCAAGAACCAGCTAGTGGGGCATGGTCCTATTTTGAGCAGGGGGTTGGGACTAGATGTGACCTCCTGAAGTGCCTTCCAACCCTCATTTTCTATGATTTCTATGACATACAAGCCAGTGTTTTTGTTCAGAACAGACTACTTGCTTTTACCCACCCACTCTGCTCTGTCTCGATGATGTCGTCTCCTACCCACAAGGTATGCGGTAGGCTGTCCATCACTTGAAGGTTTTAAACTAAAGGTGTGATGCATTTCTAGAAACAAGGCAACAGCTCAGCCATAAGTCTTAGGCTTGACAATGGCGTCCCCAGGAGGAATTCCCTGGCCCCTGTTCTGGGGAGGTTAGACTGAATGATCAGAGCAGTGCCTTCTGGCATTGAAGTCAATGACTAGTGATTTTATTTATATTTCTAAGGAGTGATATATTCATGGTGGATCCTCCTTCCTTCCTAGCCACCGGAGGTCTCTCTAGTTGCTAGCAGAAAGGTAAACGTGGCCCAGAGCCACCCATCATTGCTGCTGATGCCAGCTGGATCTCTGGCCCTTGGTCCTCCAAACTGACCTGGGAGGCAGGCCTCTAGACCCTTGGGTCTCAATCAGGAAGGCACTACCATTCAGAACAACACTCAAGCACATGAGCAGTGCTTCCCTGGCCCAGGGTCAAGCAGAGCCCAACACACACATGCGTGTGGGTGCAAGACTCCATGGGCTTCAGGGTCCAACAGTGTGGCTCACAGGGTGTGTTCAAACCCTTGTAGGACAGTCTGAAGGGAGGCAAAAGTCAACAGCTCCCAGACAGCGAAATCTTTTCCCCTCCAGGGGAAGTGGGGCACTGCACTCAGTGAACCTGAATTTCTGAGCTATCCTATTCCTATGACTAACCTGCGATGCAGAGTCTGTCTCTGGCCGAGGTGCCTACAAGATGCTCCACAGGAACGCTGAACACAACCCTGGTTTGCCCCAGCTAACTCAAGAGAGCTGAGAGCTCCCACGCCGGCCCCGAAGCCTGGGGCTGGTAGCTATGTGGTGTGCTGCCTGCCCGAATGCACCAGGTGTCCTCTGCTTTGTTTGACTTTTCATTTTGGTGCTAAACAATATAAAAATTGGACACATGAACACATGATTTTTGGCATGGAAATAAATTGTTGCCCTGACGAACCTGATTCTGACCTGACACCCACCTCACTCTGGACTAAACCCACTGCCTTCAATGAACTCACCCCGATCTTCACCAGCAGGGGAGGGAATCTGGCCGAGAAGTGTTAACAGCCCATAGTGGGGAGGAAGGACTCTGTCCACGGAACCTCACTGAATGGAGGCTTTCCTCTCTCTTCCCTTCTGATCTGAGCAAAGTTCAGTGCCTTCCCCAGCCCTGGGAGCTTTGATATGTTGACAGTCACCAGGCACCCAGCCAATGTCAGCAAGCATAAAGGAAGCAGGGGTGGGCAACTCCAAACTGAGCTGGGCCAGCAAGCACCCTTGGGTGTTGTCAGGCAAACATGGAACACACCACTCATGGGAGTCCCAGCCCGGGGCCTTGTCTCCACTATGGACTCATTGCAGCAGCACCAGGGCAGGCCCTCCTGCAGTTAGAGCTGCTCTGAGCCAGGATTTGCACCAGCACAACTTACCCCAGTCTCGGGCAGAGGGACCCAGAGCAGCTTGTGGGGGCCCTGCCTGCATCTACCAGGCTGGCACTCCTCCACCCCTTGCTAGGTTGCCAGTGACTAATGTTCCCTAGTGTGGGCAGGGCTACAATGAGACGTTGGGCTTTGTCATTCAGAGAGAGGGAACAAATGCTGACACTAACAACATCCAAAGCAGCTACCATTCACTGGAGAACATGGGCACAAGGGGCCAGAGAGTTTTGATTGCCAGCCTTCTTCAGGCACAGGCCCTGTTTGGATCATTTTGGTGCCCACATACATAACTGCCTCTGCAGTCAGCTGGGCAGTGAAATGACCTCCAACACTGCCTGCCTGTAAGTGCACAAGGCAGACCCGTGAATAAGTGAATAAGGCCAGCCTGAAACCTGGCACACAACACATGGAGGTTTCCTTCAGGGAGCAAAAATCCTTTTCTTTTTTGGCTGAAATCCCAAGCATTTGCTGCCGCTTGAGGGTCCATTATCATTTCCAATTGGTGACACTTGGTATTTCACCCCAGAGGAGGAAGCTTTGGGTTTTTTCACTTTAATTATATATAAAAATTGGGATATTTACAGAATGAGATTTATTCTTTTTAATTCCCCAAGAGCAGAAGGGCGGAAAAATGTGAAACCATTTCCCCGTGGGTCCAGGAAGGCTTGTGCTTGCATTTTCAGATGAGACCCAGGATGTTATCTTTGTAAAAAGGCTTTACTCCCTCAAGAAAAAAAAAACAGAAAAAGATTTACAAACAAAACAACAGCCTGTATTGGCTCTCCAGCAGAGAGCTGCTTCAACAATATTAATCCAAACATCACGCTATTCAATTCCCCAATAAAACATTGGAAAAAAAAAGGAGCAAACAGTATCTGCGCTAACACTTTTGCTACATATAAAATCTCCGGCTAATATGAAGCTTATGGTACCAACCTCTAAAACAGTTAAGATATATACACATATTTGGGGGGGTATATTAACAAAGAGAATATTACAAAATATTAAAGAAGGCAACTCTTCTGTCATTTCATTTTGTTTTTTCACTTGAAGTTGGCGTAGTCTGAGAAGGCGTCAATGTATTCCTGCACCACCTTGTAGCAGAATTCGTACTGTTCCTGTCAGATTTGGAGAAGGGAAGCGCACTGTTAGACAAGGAAAACTATGCTCAAGATACAACTTCAGCGCTTTGGCACCAGTGGCCTGTGATCTGCAGGGGACATACTATAAATCCCTTCCTGCGTTACATCTCTAAAGGTGAAGTTGGACATTACACTTTTGCTATACTAATGGCACTTAAAACTTAAGTGTCTGCATATTAAGGCTTGTTAACTCATGCAAAGTGCCCTCTGAGCATCTCAAAGTTACACTGCTTCAGGTGAGGGTTAACTCTGGGCTGCGCTACCCAGCTCGTGTTATGGTAACTTCAGTCTGCTACACCGAGATAAAACAAGCAATTTGCAGTCCTCCAGCATCCCCACTCCTAGCTCCCCTTTCCCCCCAGCAGGGAGAGAGCCCCAGTGTCCTGGCTCCTAGCCACACCCCTGCTCACCAGCCCTCTAGTGGCAAGTCAAAGTGGTACAGGCAAGAAACAGTATTAACCCTTGGCTGGCTGCTCACAGCATGTTCTAATGTTAACATCACTTAACACGCCACAGAGTTAGCTTGGTTCAAGGATAACATGTAACATCACCATATGTGCTTTGCAAAAGAAAAGTGAAGTGCACTGTCCCCCTCTGGAGATGTGGGGAATCTGAGTTATGGGGAAACCAGCTGCCCAATTTCAAAGGTGCTAAGTCTCCACAGTTCCAGGAACCTACATTTGTTTGACACCTCTGAAAAGCAGACCCTGCGGGACTTCCTAGGATCAAACAGCAGAGGCTGACTCGCAGCCCCAGACTCCATCTGGTGAGGCACAGCTGAACACGCAGAGGCCAGCAGTCCCAATCACAAGTCTTCTACTCTAAGGCACAGAGATCCTGGTTGCTAATTGCTGACATCAGAAACCAGAGCTCTGTGCCCTGAACCAAGCTCCTGACTCTGAACAGCCCTGAACCCTGGAGTGCTAGGATGCAGCCCAGGCTCTGGGCCATCTCTGTGAGATATCTGGATTCTCACCCTCCTTACACTGGGGTCCTGTGGACCTCAGCAAGTTCACAGGAAGTAGGAGATGTTCCATAACCTTCACCAAGCCCCTGCTCTTCCCAAAATCTTCCATCCCCTCTAGACCTTCTCAGGTCTTTGCTGATCTTCCCCACAGCAGGACTCGCCTCTGACAACCTAGAGGAGAATATGTAGGGTGGAAGTGCTAGTCTTTCCTGCTCCACCATGGGGGATTACCTTAGTGGAGGAGATTCCCACTCAGCCTTGCAAGCTGAAGGTACATTAGTGAGCATTTTGTCCAGGGTTGGGGATGCTGAGGAGGTAAGGGAAGAATAATATTTTGTGCTTACCAGTGTCTGCACCATGTGCGGCCTCTGTAACCTCAAACTTTTCACTGTCTGAAAGACGTCCAGAATGCCCTCAGCTTTTACCCTTTCCAGGACAGTGCTCAGTGCACAGAAGGTTCCTGTTCTTCCTGCTCCCGCACTGGCAGAGAGAAACAAGACAGCATAAAGAAAATGATCATACAAAGCCATGGCCTTTTGGCTGCACAGAAACTCCACCTCAGAAACAACTGGTAGGAGAAGAGGGGTGGTGGGTAATAATATGAGCCTCCCACCATCTCCTCTGGGCTTTTCTAGGTCAGCCACCAGTTCTGTACTTTGAACTAGCCACTGCAAGTGACCCTCCATCCTTGGGCACCAGTTCAGACACGCACCACCCACATGGATCCAAGGAAGCCAAATGCTGACTAGGGCCTGGAGAGCAGGCGGACACCTCCTTGGAGGAGCAGCCCAGGGCAGCTTGAGCTGGGGCAGTAGACACACCAGCAGTGCTGTGCAAAGAGGAGACTGGCCTCCTGCCTGGTGTCCTACAGTGGATCCACTGGTTACCCCATGTTCTGTCACGTGTTCTGCCCATGTCACCTGCAGTGCACAGTGATGGGGTGGTTCCCAGACTGCTGCTGCTGCTTCTGCACAGCTGCGATGATGTTGATCATCCCTTTCCCGTCACTGGGGATGCCGACTTCTGGCCAGCCATGGAAATGGAACTGTCGGATCTGCCGGCTCTTGTTTTCCTGGCAGAGGAACAGGAATGAGGGCTTTACACCCATGGGATGGATACGAGGAGCCAGATGACTGGTCACCAGCTGCCTCAAAAGTGTGGGAAGCAAGTCAAGTGAGGGGGTGCTCATGTGGGGACTGAGGGGGATTTTGGCAACTACAAGATAAAGCAGGTAGGGACCCTTGCCTAGGATAATCCAGCCCAGCTCCTGCCCCATGTTGCTGGAACTCCTCACCTGCAGAGGGGCCTCTGAGCTTTCTGGCACCCATCACCACATGATTGGTTAAGACAGGGATTAGAAGATGGGAGATGAGTCAGTAAAGCACATAAAGCATGGCAGCAGGAGGGAAAGTGCCAGAGAGAGAACCGGCAGGAAAAGAGAAGTCTTGTTCAGGGGACGGAGTCAGGGAGAGAGACAACAGGGAAGTGGGTGCATCTTGCATGGGTTGAGGATGGCAGAAGGGAAGAAAAGGTAATGGGGACAGGTGCCCTGCAGGATGAGAGGAAGGGCTAGTGCCAAGTAGAATGCACCATGGGGTGATGGAAGGAACAGGGAGCCTGAGTGACAGTACAGGGTGAGTTGGGTGAAAGGGGCAGGAGCAAGCCAGCAGTGGAAGGGACAGGTTAGACCTGATGACTGAGGTTTTGGTGGGAAACAGAAGCCAGCAATGACAAAGAAGGGGTCAGATGTCTGGTAAGGAAGGGGATGAGTTAACAGTGGGGAAGACAGCAGAATGGCCAAGCACAGAGGGGTGAAAGGGTGACAGAGAAGGGAACTGGCAGCAGAAGGGTGTCACTTTGGGGCTGATGTGGAAGAGTACACGGAGGCAACCGGTGTTTGGGACAGGGCTGCAGGAGCAAAGTGAAACTGGACACCTACATATAGCACCAGGGGCTAAGCACAGCAGACTCCAGAGCTGCCTGCTGTGGGTGGATGAGGCAGTGCTTACCCTGGTGTTTGTGACTAGCAGGTCCCGTACTGTGTAGCTCTCACATTCCTCCTCTTTTTTCAGCTCCACCGTGATATCCCCATAGGACACAGAGCCATCAGATGGCCAGTACTGAGCACACTTCTCCTGGGAAGTGTAAAAGAAAGTGATGAGGTGGGAAACCAGTATCTCCAGATTAGCTTGCATGAGGGAGGGGGAGGTCTCTGTCCTGCAATCAGCTAGATGGCAGCTTTGCACAGCCAACCACTGAATTCCCGGGGTTCAGAGAAGAGTCTGGATGCATGCATTCTGGGTGCAGCAATGCTCCGTCCTCACTGCGGACCCACTAGAAGTGGTTGTTTAGCTCCAGGGGTATTTGGGAGCTGCAGGTCCAGAGACCTTGTTTCATGGGTGCGGTTCATGCTGTGTCTGTGGGCAGATGAACTCTCTTGGAGTCTCAGAGGGGATCTCAGAGACAGCATGACACAATTTAGGAGATGTTGGCATAATGTAGGGAGAACATGTGTAACAGCCATCAGAGGCCTGCAGTAATTCCCTGCTGGAGTCATAAGGACACTGCTTCCTTTCACAGGATCATAGTCAAGTCAGGCTGGAAGGGCCCTCAGGAGGTCAATCTTGCCCAACCCTCCATGCAGGGCAGGACCATCCCTATCAAACCCATCCCAGTCCTTGTCTAGCCTACTCCTAAAACTACAGATACCCTGTCGCACCTTAACCTGCCACAGGTAAAGGAGGGGGGTGAGATCCATGCCCCTCAACTACAGAGGAAGGCAAACCCTGCCCCAGTCCATGCCAATCTGACCACTGAGTAAAAATTCCCTATCTCAAATGTGGCGACTGGTCTGACCATAGGCAAAGGGGCGAAACCCTGTACCAGGAACCTCTGGCTTTTAGTCCCAGCAGAAGCACTGGTGCAGCCCAGTTAAAATCTCCAGCCCTGACAGCAGCCAACACCCAATGCTTCTGAGGAAGATGGAAAAAAACCTTGACACTTGTGGCAATAGGAGGAGAAAAAAAAATATTTCCCAGCCCCATGCAGTGACCAGCACAACCCAAATCACAGGAGAAAGCAAATGCCCTCCAATCTGCTCTGCAACCTGGGGACAGCAAACAACTCCACACATCACAGCCCTTCTCTGTCATCCTTTCCTCTATACATCATCCCCTTTCATCCTCTTTAGTAATAAAGCTAGCTGTGGAACTCTGCTTCATTCTCCTGCTGCTGAGCATGGTCCTCTCCAACATCCACTTGCTCTCGGCTGCACAGCTCTTCTCATGATCTTCCCCTGATCCAGACACTTACCTGGCCTCTTTCTTCCAACTCTGTTAACATAACTATGGAGCAGGACTTCCACTCCCAGATCATCCTCCAGAAATCCTCTATTGTGTGCTGCAGAGGCCCCTGGCTGGCGATGTACGAGTCCTTCTGGCGGTAACCCTGCAATGCCAAGCTGCAGTTACCAGGGCAGCAGAACGATGAGCAGGCTGGAGATTACCTCTGTGCTGACAGCCTCTCCCGCAATGTCTGCTCTGCGTGGTACAAAGCTCTGCTGCAATGGACTCCCTCCCAGCTGTCTCCAAACCACGCCATAAGAAGGGTAATATATGAGGGAATGAGAGCATGCAGGCAGGGAACGGGGTGCAGGTAAGTGACACTGCATGGAGGAGTGGGGGAACATCGATCTGGGGGAGAATCAGGGGTAACCTCTCATTTCCTGCAGCTCTAGTGAGGTGTCAAAGAGGTAAGGCTCCCCCTCCCTTCATGAGCAGCACTGTGAATGCTCAGAGGCGCCATGGTTCCTGGTAAGCATCTCAAAGGGGCAGTGGGGCCTCCAGGAGAAGCCTCCCTAGTGCTGGTGTGACACCACTGTGAATTCTGTCTGTGCGGTAGAAAGGGCTACACACAGGTCTTGTCTACACAAGAGAACAGTGCTGATTCCAATTCAAGCAGTGCAAGTCTGGTAACATAGACACTCTCATGCTGGCTGACACTGTCCTGCAGAGATGTCTTGCTGGCTTAACAAGCTTTGTTTCTAAACCTGCGTTGCAAAGCTGGTACTATTTCCTTGCACAGACATGGCCGTCTCAGCTGTGCACAGGTTGGCTTGGGTCCCCAGCCGCACTAGGCTCAGCATAAAACCTTGCTGCAGCAAGTCCCCAAACAAAAGAGTGTGCGTCTTTAAGAACAAGGCTTTTGTCAGCTCAGCCATGGTTGTTCACCTTAGTGCACAGCCAGGGCTGCCTTCTGAGCTGAACTGCGTCTCTCTGAGGTATTTGGACTTGTTGCTGGGTAGCAGGCTGCCTCTCCACCTCTGAGAACAAGCATCAAGAACGCTTTGGGACCCTGGTGAACACCTGTTGCTAGCACGTCTTATTCAGGAACCAGTTCAGTTTAGACTGGGTGGAAAACCTTCTCCTTAGGCTCAGCTCAAACCTACTAATTTTAAGGCTGATGTGACTTACTGTGGATTTTAAGGGAAAATGAAATCTCTCTGGTAATGGATGCAATCTCTAATCTGGGGAGACTCCTGCTGTTATCCACCCCATAAGCATTCCCACTTCCAAGAGTACAAGATTCTGCTCTTCTTTTTGTTCACAGTTTGCAGCGAGGACACAAAGGCGCTTAGTCATTTGGAGCTTGTCACTCAAGCAAAGTTCAGTAGAGCCAGGAAATTGAATTCTCAACAAAATAGCCCACATCACATCAAGGGCTCTCTGACCTAGATTCACAATGAGCAAATAGAGCCAGGAGGCCGGACAGGCTGCTCACATCCTGCTGCATCTGAAACTAATGCAATCGGAGGGGTAACATGCCAGGACAAACCCAGTATGGATGGGGGCAGTGTTCTCAGGGGGACATAAAGGACCTTTCATGGGGTCAGACCTAATCCACAGCAGGGACTGTTGCTGCTACTGCATTGATTAGGCATTAAAGGACCTGACTCCTATGCTGCTTACTCATTCCTGGCCAGCTTGCACATGGGGGAAGACTAATGCAGGATGTCCCATGGCAGTCAAAAGGTGCATTTGTGAGTAAGAGCCGTGTACTGCTTGCTTAGAGCTACAAATTACAACCTTGCTGTCTCATTTCCTCCTGCCTAAGAGACAGAGATAACGAGGATGACCTGCTTTGGTTGGGGCCTAGAGATCTGCATAATACTGCACCACATTCCCTGGCCAAATGAAAAAGACTTGTAGCCCCAGTTCTGCTCCTTCATGCCTGTGTGAGGGCTAACAGCAAGGGCCAGGGAAATGGGGGTTGCTGGGTTTGTACAACTGGCGATGGAGTGCTGAAGGTCACGAGATGGCATATGGATAGGACGGCACGGATGCTCACTCCGCTCCTGGCTGCACCCTACCTCTTCTGAGGACAAACAATGGCCCCCATCATCCTGGCACTTCCCACCACCACTGATCATCAGCAAAGGGAAGCAGGACTGCTAAACACCAGACAACTGCCCTGGATGCAGGGTTATTGAGCTTGGCCATGGGTGGTCAGGACATGGAACTCACATCGATGAAGGAAGCATTCACGTAATCCGTGTTCTCCTCGCCTCTCTTCACTGGAATGATCACTCGGTTAAATTCATCTACAAGGGAAGACAGGAACACAGGTTGGCCTTCTGGACAATGCTCACGGACAGCAGGTGCTCTCTGTCTGAGCATGAGCCTGACTGTTAAGGCAGCCCCAGGGGGGCCATCCCACAGGCCCACCAGGCAGCAGAGAGAAATGAAGAAAGCATGCCTAGTGGCAAGGGATGAGACCAGAGTTTGATTTCCTACTCTGCCACACATTTCCCGTGTAACCTCAGGTAAGTCTCTCAAGTCTCTTTGTGCCTCAGTTCCCCAGGCACTATGGGTGAGCAATACAGGCACTACCCTGTCCCAGACAGTCAGTGTGGAGCAGAGCATCCTGTGCTGCAGGGCGCAGGCCCTCTGTCCCCAGGGTAGGCTGTTGTGTTACACTGTGCTGTCCTTTGTCTCCTTAGTCTGTGTGTTATTGCTTAGCTTCTCAAGTCACCACAATGGCAGAGCTGGTCCTCAGGGGACTGGATTCAGCTGAGCACACCTTCCCAGGGGGCACGTGATGGGAATACCCCAAACAGAAAGGATCAGAAAGGGCTCCCCACACAGAGACCTCCCCTAGCATTCAGGCAGAGGAGCCAGGGGAACAAGCACCCAGGGGGAGGGAGGATGGGAGCAGGCCAGCTAGAGCCAGGCCCAAGCCCTGGAGCTGGGATGCCAGCCAAGAGTGCTGCTGCTCCAGCCAGTCCTCCAATTCACTTCAGGATCTGCCTCAAACCCACCTCATTTGTTCTCAGAGGCTATGTAAAGACAGTCAAAAAATGTGAGGCTGAATTGATTCAATCTTCACAGGTTAGTCTAAACTGCATAGATTGAACCAGTAAGCCAGGGAACAGACAGTCACTTTTGATTCTTGGAAAGCAGCTACATGCCTGCAGTGGCCCAGGCCAGAAGCCACCTCCCTGCTCTGCTGGGGCAGACAGCTTGAGCCAAGGCTAGCCCACCCAAGGGGGGTTGGCAGAGGAGGTACAACGTATCCTGGGATGCTGGGGGACTCCGAGTTAACTTGAATCTAGACGGGATCTGGGACAGAAGTTCAATAAATTAATTTAACCTGAATCAGTTAAGTCTGATACTGTATCCATTCAGGTTTATCTTTATCTAGTTTTGGCCATTGTGAAAGTGGCTTATGTGTGCTGAACTTCTGTTGTGTTACAGATTTGAACTGGTTTCTGATCACTTAAACCAGTTTATACATAGTTTCTGTCCCTAACCAGAAGCTCCAGTCCACCCCATTGGCTCCCCACATCTCTGCTCCCTGAATGTACTATAGCTCCACTCTGTGTCCACCGTCCCATCCTGTTATGGTCCCTTCAGCAGCTCCGGGACAAGCTCCCATTCACCACAAAGACCGGCCTTTCATATTCTCTCAAGCCCCACCCCAGCGTGTCCTGGTCCTGGGCCAGGGGGCAGGAGCAACTCACATGGAATTATTTGAAGCACCCTGTTCTTCTTCATGTTGGCTGGCAAGTTGCCTGTTCTCATCTTGTCGTTCTGGATCTTGATTGAAGTTAGTTTCTGTTGGAACAAAGACAGGCCCAAACTAATGGCTTTTGGTAGGGCCAAAAGCAGCCGCAAGGATAATGAGCTACATGCCCCATACTGAGCCAGGTGGCCCACAGAGTTGTGCTCCAGCCACAGGCAGGAGCGCAGGCATCCAGAAGCATTATTCTAAGCCATCTTCTCTTCCTTTTGGAATGGGGGTGTGTGGAAAATCACACTCACTTGCCCCCGCAAAGCTAAATCTGGATACAGACCATGGTGATGAGTGGTAGCGGCAGGATGAACTGGTAGCCATGGGGTTTAATGTAGCTGTCACTCACCTGCCACCTGTAAAACATCTCCCCAGTGGGGCTCCATACCCCTGCCCCTAAATTCCTGGCCCTTCCAGGAGCCCCTTGGCCAGATGTTTAACAGTCCTAGCTTACATGAAGTGTTATGAGTCCCCCTTAGATTATCACTGTCTGCTTTGCACTCAGTTGTGCATGTCCCCCCATGCAAAGGAGCCATCAGAGCTACAATCACTTCCCTAAAAATGGTCAGGAGATCTGGAGTGACAGATCCACAAAGTATTTCTGTGACACCAGTTACTTCCTTGCTCTGTGCCTCAATTTCCCATCTGTAAGGCAGAGATGGCACCAATATTTGCAAGACTCAGGGCAAGGACAGATTAACACACACCCAATGCAACTTGCACTGGTTTGGTATGCCAGTGGGAATTGCACTGGGATGAGGAAAAGCCAAACACTCTGCCCTCCTAGGCTAGCTCACACTGTATGTAGCTAGTACTGGGCCAATTCTCTCACTCTGGCAACTCCATCTCCCAAAGCCACGCTGTTTTTCTGGGAATCCCATGTGGAAAGGTATGAGGGGCTTGTGCTGAGAACCAGGGAAGGTTTTGGCCTTGGTAGAAACTGGCTGCCATCAGGAGTTTCAGTCCACGCAGGGTTTGTGTGTACTATGTTGTCTGTGAGACTCCGTGGGGACACTTCCAAACACATCCCACCTTTCCCAAAGCTTTTGGCTTGGCCCCACCCATCAGTCTCTGCCTAAACCATAAAACCAGCTGGATCCTGGGAGTCATGAGACAGATCACTACAAACTCACTCCATGGAAAAGCAGGTTGCAGGCAAGGGACCTGGAGGCAAAGCACTCCAATGACTTTCATTACAAAGGCACAGATCCCTCAGCCTCCTAATGCTACAAGAGGGTTGTTCCATTTACAAAGCGCTGTCTAGTGTTTTGCCCAGTCTTGCCCTCCATATCCCTTGAGATCCTGCTGGTCCTAGGCAGGCTTTGATGCAGCAGTCATTACAGCAGTCACTAACCACTGCCCCGTTCTCCCCTCCGAAGGGTGCCATGGCACTCTGTTTCTGACTCACCCACCTTGAACTCTTCCTCCAGCCCATTGCTGCTGGTCCCTGGCACTTTGTTGTAGATTTTCTGGAGGTGGATCTCCAGCGAGGTCACTTCCAGCTCTGTGTCCCCATACAGGTAGTGCTCCAGAAGTGCTTGGTATATAAACACATACTGCATCTGGAAGGGATGGGGGTCAGATTGAGTGCCCTCAAGAACACATGATGCCAACCCAGGCCAGTCTCCAATGTCAGCACCACCACCCAGCAAACCAGCTATGCCTGGGCCCAGTCCTTCCCTATAAAAGTTAATGGGAGTTTGCCTTGATCAGAGAGGAGTCCCACTATCAGGTTCCCACTGGGAAGTACAGAGCAAGGTCATCGTCCGAGAGATGTGCAGATGCTCAGACAACAGCTCAAGGGGAAAGGGAGGGAGAACAAGGGCTGGCCTGATGCACATGACCAGCAAAGCGTGGCTAAGAGAAGCTCATTATTTTCAGACTGATGGGATCAAAAGAAGGGAAGACTCAACCAGGAGAGCTGGGGCCAGGAATTAGCTGGTGTTGGAGACTATTTCTGCTCTGCCACTAACTCACTGTGTAACCTTGGGCAAATCATGTCACAGAACCATAGAGAAGTTGGGCTGAAAGGGACCTCCAAAGGTCATCTAGACCAACCCCCTGCCTGAGACAGGATCAGCCCTATCCAAACTATCCTAGACAAATCCACTGTCTAACCTCTTAGCAAAACTACAGTTGCCCCTGACACAACCATGAGGCATAATACCCAAACCTGCCGCAGATAAAGCAGGGGGACAATATCAGCCAGTGTCCTGCTGCTGCAAGGCTTGATAAAATATGCCTGAAAGATCCCAAGCATAAGGCCACCCTCAACACACAGAGGAAGGCAAAAACCCCCACAGTCCGTACCAGTCTGACCACGGATAAAATTTTACCGGGGTAAAATTCCTTCCTGACCCCAAACATAGTGATTGGTCTGACCTGAGCAGAGAAGAAAGACCCTTTAGCCAGAAATCTCTAGCTTTACTTCTTAATAGGAGCAGTGGCACAGTTCAGTCACAATCCCCAGCCTTGGCTGCCTCCGAAGGAGGCAAAACAAATCATGTCCCATGATGGCACCTAAGTGACCCAATCTGTAAAATGGGGACAGTGCTTCCTACTCCTGATGGGGCTAGGTTTGATGAGCAGCAGTCTGCACAGTGCTTGGAGCATGGGCAGCATCAAATGCTCAGTGCTGTCAGGAAGGCCCTACCAGGCCCAGCATGCTGAACTTACATCTGTCTGTACCATCTGGCAGCGTTGTGCCCGAATCCGGCTCACGAAGCCATACACATCCACCTTCCTCTCCGCATGCATCATGTCCAGCATGGCATCGATGACTATGAAAGTGCCTGTGCGTCCCACCCCAGCACTGCATCAAGAGGGGCAAACAGTTAGCACAGCACCTGGGTAGAATCCCTATCCACAGCATCAGGCCTGCAGCGGAGGGGCAGAACTAAGGGGTTACAGCCAGGCAGTTAAGAGGATGGGAAACTCAATCTACTCCAGACAGGATAGCAAGGGGACTCTTACCCTGCCAGAAGAGGGACCATTCTTAGTTCACAGGCCACAGCAGAGATGCACAGACCTTTCCAGGCTCCAGCAGCAGAGCAGGTAAGGCTGCAGACTGGGGTAACCCAGAATGAAGCCCTGGAGCCAGTTACATCTAGCAGCCAAAGTGCTGCCTGGAGTTGTCCCCCTGACTCTCCTGTGGCACACAGGTGTGACCAGCCCTGTGACACGCCAGCTTTTCTGCTCCTCTGGACTCTGGCATGTTATCAATGATGGTGAACTCAGTCATCAAGCAGCACGTGAGGGGGACAAGGGCTTGAGCAGGGATCAGAAGGATGGGAACTTTCCTCTGGAAGTTTGTGCACAGCTGGAGAGGCTCAGGCTGAAGTCAACCAGCTGTTCTGAGGTGGGCAGCTTAAGGGAGTCTCCAGGGTCCAGCCCTTGTGGAGAACCTCAGTACTCAATCCACCCTGCAGGGTGTGGGGCCTTTCTGCACACAGTGCTGTCTGTTATTCAAGAGGGATTTGCCCAGCATTCTCTGATCCTCCCTGTTACACTCACAGCCACACTCCACCCTAGAGGTGACTGCATGCCAGTTCTTCACAGTCCATACAGAATATGCCAGTTTTCTCAAACTTTGCAGTCACAGCACCCTCCACAACTCTTCTTTGAAGGTGGCGGTACCCCCGGTTGAGAAACATGGCTCTGCTGCCTCATCTTACCTCAGTGCTTCTCAACCAGGTGTTGCAGCCAAGTAAAACTGCCCCACATGCCTCCTGCATCAACAGACTGGGAAGGGCCATGGCACGTGTGTGCTCTCCTGCCTTGTTAGGGCTCTCTGATAACTAAAGCAGTAAGGACAGCTGGCTTGTGGTGCAGCCCTTCCTGTCCAACCCTGCACGGCATCTCCAGGACACCCCAGTTGAGAACCACTGGTATGCATGAAGGATAAAAGGGGCTACAGAAGTGAACAGACATTACAGGCAGCATGCTTAGTGGTTGGAACAGGGGAACGTGAGTCAGGACAGCTCCATTGTATCGCGGCCGCGGCCCCAAGACGCTTAGAAAGTCCAGCTGCTGCGCTCTGGTTGGGTCCATCTCCAAGGTTAGGCAAGGAGCAAATAACTCATGGGGGATACGACTGACAGCAAGCTGTGCATCTTCTGCTTTGGGGAAGCTACCAAATGCATCCCCATGATTATTTTGGGTGCAGAGGGAACCTGGAGTTCCCTGCTGTGTCTGGGACTCCAATCCACAAAGGCTTGAGGTGTTAAAGCCAAAGCATTGCTCCCAGGTTGCTGGAAAGCTATAGCTCTTGGTAGATGAAAGGTGATGCTGCCTCCCAGTGGCTGAGCCCTCACAGTGTCCAAGGGGAGCTGTCACAATTAAGCAGCTATGTTCTCCAGTTCATTTGCAAAGTGGATTAAAGCCAAACCAGCCCAGGACCACTCTGGTTCTGAGCAACTGTGCTCACACAGAGCTTGAGGGAGTTCACCTATTCCACTTTAAAGGTGAATTTGGATTAAGTGTCCTGAGTGGCCCTGTGTAAAGGAGGCTGTGAATCAGTTAATGGGATCACAGGACAGTCAGGCTGGCAGGGACCTCACAAGGCCATCTAGTCCAGCCACTTGCTCAAGACAGGATTAGCCCTGCTTAACCCATCCCAGCCAAGTGCCTGTCAAGTGCCTGATAGACAGGCTCCCCTCTGCCAGCCCCTGCCCATCAGCAGATGAAACTGGCTTTCCATATCACCCCAAGAGTCAGGAGGGGGGTAGGTGGGGAGAAGCTCTGAGGAGCCAAGCCCCACACTGACCTGCAGTGTACAACGATCGCCCCTGCATACTGGGGGTTACATGTCTTCACTTTCTTCAAGAACTTCAGCATCCCAATGGGGGTGAAGGGGACCCCGAAGTCTGGCCAGCTGGTGAAGTGGAACTGTGTCACGAGTCGCTGCGGCTTTTTGTTTGTGACATCACCAACCTGGAGAAGAAGCAAATACAGTGACTCCTGTCAGACCAGCCGCTGGAAGCTAGCCTGCGTTGAATCAGTGGAACAGGGGCACTACCCACCAGCTGAAGCAGTGCTCCCTGGTGCTGGAGGCAGTGGCTGTGGGCAGATGCACCCCTGCCACAACCCCCCTTTGAAACCTACAACTGTCCTTCAGTGCATTCCCAACAAGGAGGTGCTGAGACACCAAACCCAGCCACAGGGCCCAAGGGCAGGCAGGCGTTCCTTTGACTCCTACCCTAGAACTGTCACATGAGCTTCAAGCTGAACCCAGACCCCAAATCTGTCAGGTTTCACGCAGAGGCACCTTGAAGACAAAGTGACCCTGTGCTCTTCAAAGCAGCCTGGGTTCACTCGGCAGGTTTCACTGCTCCACTTCCACAAGTCCTAGTGTTATCCTCTCCCCCAGCTGTGAAGGGGAGGAAGGAAAACTCAGGGAGGAGGATCCAGGTACACATGGGATTGGAGTACACCAGTGGTAAGGGCCCGTGCACATTTTATGAGAGCAGAACCGGTCCATATAATGACACGGCCGGGCCCTTTGCCACAGTAAATCAGTTCAAAGAGGCAGAGTCCAGTAGAGATGAGTTATGGTAAAGTGGCAATAAGGACTGATGGCACTGCAACTCCCAGGTGCCATTAGTAATGCAGCAGTAGCATAGCCCTGTGATCGTAGAGTAAGAGTATTCGAGCATCATGAAATCCGGAGCTTCCCAATGAATCAGACGATTCCACCCCTCCCACTTCTCTCAGGGCTGGGAGGGAGCTAGGAGACATAGAGGGCAGTAACCGACCCATCATACCTGTTGAATGCAGAACTTCCGTACTGTGTAATCAACCAAGACGGTCACATCCTCCACAGACACCCGGATGTTTCCATATGTCCAGCAGCCCTGATCTGGCCAGTACTGAGCACATTTACACTGGAGAGAAATGACACAAAGACAAGGGTCAGCGCTTAGAGACCACAGAACAGCCTGCTAAAAGGAAGTCCTGGCCCCCAGGCTTGATTTCACAGAAGTCAGGGGGAATGAGGCTGGCAGCTTCAACAGATCAGCCCTGACTTCCTTACCCTTGGGCATGGGTTTACACCCAGGCCATGCACTTAGGGCTGGGATGCTTTGGGAAGTGTACAGAAGCTCATGTGGCCATCCCCATGGGTAACCCAGGATAACCCACTTGACTTTGTTCCTCTTCAGGTGGGTCTCATATAAAGGTTTATGAGTCTGCTATCGTCTGCAGGCTAATGGGTGTGGTCCTTCAGCTCAAACACACCAGCTCATGTGTTTAGATGCAGGCATCTCAGGCACTCTGGGATCTATCGCACAGGCAAGCCTGCTAGGGACCTGGCTTCACCCACGTGAAATAGTAGTTTCTTCACTGTGTGAGCCCCACTCTGACACTCACTTCCTTTCTCTCTTTCAGGTTTGTCACCATGACGATTGTTGCTGTGTTTTGCTCCCAAATCATTCTCCAGAAATCATTCACGGTTTCTTCTTTTGGTCCTAAAACAGAAAACAGCAGGTGATTAAAAAGCATTCAAGGCAGAGGCGCAGCCCACTGTTAGCAACTCCATACAAGGTAGGCAGAAGGCAGAGCACACTAGCACCTTAGGGCATTTGTCCATGTGCTTGTGCTGCAGCACCAGGAGCTTTTAAAAGCACCCGGCATTGTGATGCATACATCTGTATAAATGGCAAAATGTGCATCAGCGCTGAGAAAATGTTGGCAGCACGCTTTTGAACTAAAACACATCCAAGTTGTTTTAGTTCAAAAGCACGCCACTGCCATTATCTACATGCATTTCACCATTTTTACAACCCCATGTGATGCAGCAGTGTTTGCCAGCTCGCGTGCAGAACAGACTAGATTAATCGTGCCTGACCTCCAGTATGTCGCAGCACAAAAATGTATGTGTATAAATGCCCTTAGTGACTAACTAGTTTGGAGAGGCATTAACTTCAGCAGCTGCGACTGGACTGGCAGAAAGCAGGGGCTCTAAACAGAGGGGGAATTTAAATACAAAGAAAGGGTGGGGGCAGGGGAACGTGGGCTGAATAGGTCAACAGGTATAAACAAGGCAATTAATCCACAGAGAGACACAGAGCTATAAAAGCTAGGCCATGCAAATGGGATAAGAATCCACAATCTCTTCCGAGACCATACTTAGAGCAATGCAATCTGTGGATGAAGCTACATCAAAGATTTTTTGCTTGTTGCCAGCAGGTGGCAATAGCAGGCTCTCTTTGGCTCGCCTGGGTATATTTGACTTCGGCTATCACAAGGAATGAACAAGCACATAACATAGCTGGGTTTTTAAAAGTACATTTTATGTCATGTGATTAAAGTAGTCATAATCCAAGCTGGGTGTGAAGGAGGAAAGTGAGGTACACAGTAAAGAAATAACTTGCCCAAATTCACACAGGGAGATTAAGGCAGCACAACAGAACCCAGTGTTGGTCCTCTTTCAGTGTGCTGCTTGTTGGAGTTAATTATTTTCTGCCCCCAGCCCAGTGGCTGGGCTGCACCTATGCATCCAGCCCCAACCGCCCTGGTGTGGGTGGGTTGAGAAACTGCACTTCAGCCAGCTGGGCTGGTTGCACGATAGGTTCTGTCCTCAAGGATGTTAACACTGGAAAGCTGCTCCAAGTTACATCAGCTGCCAATGGCCCACAGGCTTGTTAGAGCAGCTGAGGATCAATGGGTTGCAGAGAGATGGTGGCAGCAGCAGTGGGGCACTCCACGCCAACACCAATGTGGTGGTCATGCCACACAACTGTTAACGTCATACACAATGCAATGAGATCACCGGTCCGAAGGGGGCATAGCAGGTATAAAAGTCCTGCTCCGGACTAGGTTTGGCAGTACTCAAGGTACTTGGTCTCTCTATTATTATGGAGCAGTCCTGTCTCTTGTCATCATGGGAAACCTCTCCACAGTGAAGGTTGTAGCTAAGATCCTGTCTGCTGGCACACCACCACACTGTCTGACTGTGCTCGATCAGGCCCAGCTGCCCTGAAGCTGCCTCTGTGTCAGCAGGCTTCCCAGCTTTTATGATGAGATTTTGTTCCAACACATTGCTTGCAATGTTTGCAGGAAGGAGAACAGGGTTCTATGACTATCAACAGCCCTGCCAGGACTCGGGGCCGGTTGTAACGATGGATGATCTTCGTGCTCCAGGGTGCAAGTGGAGCATCTGTTGAAACCAGGCAGGGACTCGCTGGAGCTCCTCGCCATGACCTAATATTTCAGAGGCAGGTACCTGGAGTTCTGCCTCTCTGCTACACCCAGCACAGGGCACTTGGAAAGCCCCATAATCTGTCCCTTACATTCCCTCTCTGGTAACCCAGAGGATGGGCCCAGGGCAGATGAGCTGCAAGTCACATTTCACAGTCCCATAGATGAGGAAAGGACCCCCCAGCCTAATGCTCTCTGGACACAGTGACTAGAGTAGTTGATTGGTTGTACCTTGTGCAGCTATGAACTTGTTTTTTTCTTGGTACCCCTGGGAAAAAAAAAGAGACAGAGAGAAAATAAGTCACTGATTGAAAGAGCAGCATGCCTCCAAGGCAAGCCATCTGCATTGCAGCCTCCTCTCTCAGCAGCACAGCATCATGTATTCAGCAGGCCCCCGACTTCCCTCACACTGCTTTTGGAGATCACACGGTTTGGCCCCTGCAAGCTGGCCATACCCACACACAAGGAAGTGCATTACTGCCACGCTGTAATCTCAGCTCCCAGAGCTGAGGCAAGTCTCAGCCATATGGCACTGAATGGCCCTGGTGCCCTTCAGTTGTTTCTCCACCTGTCGTTGCTGTGAGCTGAGAAAAAGATGCCGTTGTGTTGCAGCTGATAGAAGGCTGCAATTTCTGGCCACGTGCAGAGATCCATATTTATAATGCAGCAATTTTCATCTTGAAGGACCCCACAGCACCTCCCAAACTCTCTCTTCCCAACTCTAGTCCCTGTTAATCCTCTGCAAAACACCCAGGGTCCATGCAGCTTGACAAATTATGTAAAAAAAGTGACCCATTATCCCCCAGCAGATGACACTGTGTATGCTGCAGCCCCAGACAGCTACCTCTGATGGCCTTTCTGAGTACCTGGACTTAGCAGGAGGAAGTGCCGTGTTACTACATGTTGCTGGCTGCATTTCCAGCAACAGAGAACAGAGGGGCTCTTTATAAACCTTGCTCCATGTCCGGCCAAGTTCACTAGGAACATAAGAGGGGAAAGCCTCTCCGACCCAAGTTGTAGTCACTATTAGTAATCTCTCAATTCAAGGATGATCTCTTCCACAGCTCACTGACGGCTCTCGAGGTGACTTAAGAGTCCATTCCTTGAGCCACAGACCCATCTTCAGAAGTTGCAGATCTTCCTGCAGAGGAGAGTAGCTGTACGCTAGAATTTCTCTCCTTTTCCTTCCTCCGTTCTCTTCTCTGCTTTAAGGGCAAGACACTTTAACCTGAAAGAGGCTGCTGCTTGATTGAAGTTGTGGCACCACTGGAGTCGGTCGACAGCCAGTTCCCTCCTGGCTCTTGATGTTGGTATCCGTTTTCTTGAGGTGCACCTTCAGTGGGTCCTTGTAGTATTTCCTCTGCCCGCCATGAGATCTCAGGCCATTACTAAGCCAGGAGGAAAGTATTTTTTTCGGGAGTCAAGACTACGGCATCCACACATAGTATCCAGTCCAGTGAAGATGGTGCTTGACTCAATGCTGGTAACACTGGCTTCAGCAAGAATGCTGGAGTTTGTGTAGCGATCTTCCCATTTGACCTGGAGGATTTTCCAGAGATATCATTGGTGATACATCTCCTGGCTCTTGGGATGACGATGGGAGATCAACCATGTTTCACTTCCATAGAAAAGAGTGGAGATGATGGCTGCATTGTAGACCTTGATCTTGGTGTCTTTCTGGAGAGTGCGATGAATAAAAACATGCCAAAGCAATTTCTCAAAGGAGGCATTTGTGCCCCAGATCCTGCACTGGATCTCCTCAATCTTCACTTTCTGAGACAGGTGGCTACTGAGGTAGGGGAAGTCCTTACTGCCTCCAGGGTCTTTTCTATGATGGTATTTTGGGGGTCACATTCATGGCCTTGGGCGGGCTCACAGAGCTCTTTAGTCTTCTCGATGTTGAGGGAAAAAACCAAAGTTTGGTAGGCTTCTCCAAAAAGATCCAGCACGGTTTGGAGATTTTCTACATTGTGCGCAAGGATGGAGCAGTCATTGGTGTATTGAAGGTCAAGTTCTTTGACCAAAAACATCCCAGATTGAAGACCCCTCCACCTGTCTGGTATTCTATATCAATTCCAGAAGGAAGGCAGTCCTTAATAAGAACCAAAATGACTGTGCAAAAATGGGGAACAGAGTTGTGGAGATGACACATCCTTGCTTGACCCCAGCTCAGATGACAAATGGATCTGTCTCCAATCTGCTACACAGAATGGCCACAGGCATGATCATGGAGAAGCCTCAGATTCGTGATGTACTTTTCAGGACATCCAAATCTGGCCAGTACTTTGCACAAGGCTTCAGGATTGATGGAATCAAAGGCCTTAGTGATGTCAATGAAGGCCATAGACAGGTCCTGATGTTGTTCCCGATACTTCTCTTGGACCTGTTGGGCAACAGAGATCCTGTCAACTGCTCCAAAGGGTGGTCTGCAACCACAGACCACCTGGTCTGAGATTCCAGCAGGACTTCTTCAGCAAGAGGTAGAACAGATCAGGAGGATGCAGGCAAGGGTTTTCCCTGCTGTGGAAAGGAGGGTGATACCTCAATAGTTCCCACACACAGACTTATCTCCTTTCTTGAAAACAGTCATGATGTTGGCATTCCTCAGGTCCCCAAGGATTTCTTCAGTGTTCCAAATTCAATGAATAAATGTGTAGAGTCTCAGTACCAGCTCCTCACTGTCAGGCTTGTAGACTTCAGCAGGTATGCCATCTGGTCCAGTAGCCTTGTTTTTGGTTTTCCTGATGGCACACCAGATTTCTTCTGGGATAGAAGGGCTGGCGAGGGATCCCCTTTCTGGGTGTTGGGGAATGGAATTGATGATGGTATCCACCACCACATTTGACCCACGGGTCAGGAGTGCCTCAAAGAGCTGTTTCCATCTATCTTTGATAGATTTATTGTCTTTGAGGAATGTATGCATTCTACAAGTATATCACAAGCATACATCAGGATTTGGGGGAGCATCTATTCACCAAGGCCCAGGGAAAGACAAAAAATAATAGGCACAAGTTGATTGAAGATTACTTCAGACTAGACATATGGAAAAATACCTTTACAAGCTGAATACCAAGGGTTTGGAACAGGCTTCCCCCAGAAATGGTAGTCATCCACCCTGGTGCTCTTCAAAAAACTCCTTGACACCCATCTTGCTGGGATCATTTGATCCCAGCAGTCTTTCCTTCCCGCATGCAGAGGCGCTGGACCTGATGATCTGTAAGGTCCCTTCCAGCCCCGAAAAACTATGAAACTATGATCACAGGAAAGTAAGACCATGGGAAGCTGGGCTGCAGATAGCCTTTGTTGCCCCCAAAAGCTATGCATATCATGTTTGTCAACATACAGCTGGACCTCTTTGGCTTTATCTTGCCACCCTGATTTTTGATTTTTCCAGGTCCTCCTTTGAGCTTTGGCTTTGAGGAGTTGATACATCTCCTCTGGCTGAGATGAGGTGTCATCTTGCCAAGCAAAATGACTTCTCTTCCAGTCAAGGAGGGCTTGGATCTCAGCTTCACTCTCACTGAAACAGTTTTGGTGTCAATGAGTGGTATTTAGCACAGGCCATATGAATAGTGGTTTTAAAATTCTTCCAGAGTTCCTCAATGTTGTTCCTCATTTGTGGACAGGGCAGACAGCTTGCCATGGAGACGCTGTTGGAGATGCTGACAGACATTCAAATCTTGAGATCTGTGGTTGAGAGTCCTTTGCATTACTTTTGGAAAGTCAAACAGGTGCTGGCACACAGCTACTGAACTCAGCTGTTACTTTCTCCACCTGCTGCTGCCTTGCCCACTCTCCTCCCCTCCTCATAGATCCTGAACTCTGCAGGCTCTCTTAGATGATCTGCACTACAGGGTGGCTGAGCATGGGGCAGATCTGCTCCAGAGGAAGGCCAACCTGTGTAGTGAGCTGGGGAAACTGTCTAATTGGCCTGGAAAAGGGCCTAGAATAGAGACGTTGTCCCCAAAGGCAGCCATGCTAGCATCTGAACACCCTGCAGCTGAGCTCAAGCACTGAAGTCTGAGCACTACCTCTGCAGGCCTACAGAAGCCCTCTGGACTTCAATGTTCGAAAGGGGAGCTGCTGATGACAATATATGTTTGGGGAAAGTAAAAGGGATCTCGGATCCTGAGCACTGATCCCTCACTCCTGCACACTGTGAGAATTGACACTTCGCCAAAATATGTATTCTGCACACTGCTCTGCCACTGGAGCCATTTATCATTATTAACTGATTGTGCTAGATGCTGTACACAGACACTGAAAGAAACACTTGCTGCCGCAAGATTTGTACTAGACATGATAAAGGGAAGAATGACAAGTTTCCATTACACAAATGAGTTACAGAGCCAGAACAACTTGCCAGGAAGTCTAAGGCACCACCACGTATTAAACCCAGAACTTGAGTTCCAGGTATCCTAAACCCAAGAATGATCTTTCTCCTTCTATCAGCATTCACCCGTGCTACTGATCTTTGGGAGCAACTGGCAGACAGAACCTTCTTAATGGCTTGCTGAATGACTTTCCATTGAAAAGATTTTGTCTGGAACCAGGGCTCTGAACCCTGTGTTCTGTCCACCTCAGAAATCAATGTTTCCTTAGTGAAGGCACGGTCTTTATCCCACTCCAGTCAACAGCAGATCTCCCATCTACTCTACTAGGAGCAGAGCAGGCCCAGAATTTAATTGGCCAGCTGTGTTTGATTCAAACCCAACAGCCTGCAAGCCCACTGGATGTGCAGCTCCTGCTGGCTACTATAGGAGTTCTGAGGAGTTCTTTGTTACTGTTTCACATGAAGAAATGGGTTCAGTCATCTAGCTGACCTCTTGCACAACTCAGGACAGGGAATTACACCCAGTCATCTCCGCACAAAGCCAACGATGTACATCTGAGCTAAGCATATCTACCAGAGACGCATCCATCAAAGAAATAGATAATCCACCATTTCCCTTGATAACTTGGTCCAACAGTTTATTTCCTGTTTTGTGACCAATGTCCCATTCATCCCAGAGTAATCACATAACACTATCTCCCCAACACAGGGGAATGTGGCAGCTACACTTTTCAGCATCCTGTAGGGTAGATGTTACCTTTATTTTACAGATGAGAAAACATAGGCCCAAAGAGTCATGACTAAAGTCACAAACTAGGTCAGTGGCACAGCCAGAAAGAGACTACCGTAGCGCTGGCTCTGTGCTCCATGCTCTAATCACCAGACTGTATTCCCTTTAACACCAGGGCAGAGCAGATCACACCCAGCTCCCACTGCTAGGCCGACCCTGCAGGACTGCAGAACAGCACAATGCTTGGCCAGTGAACTAAGCAGATGTGAATCATATACTCAGAAAGCTGGACAGCCCCAAAGGGCCAGCTCTTCACGGTCCCTTTTTCCAACTACAGTCACATTCTGGGTAAGCCACATGCACAGTGGTAAGTGCCTAGTGAAACTGGCCACTGCAGAACCATGCCCAGCAGACTGGGGTTTGCCCCAGAAACAATTAGTAACAAAGTCCAGACAGAAACTCACATTAATGAAGGAGGCGTTAATGTAATCGGAATCCGGGACCCCTTCCACGGGAGTCAGGTGAACCCTGGAATGATCATCTGGAGAAGAAGGAAAACTGGGCATTAAAACTGGGCAGCCCTATGTAGAGTTCCTCGAGGTTTGGGCATGCACAGAAGAGACTGTGTCCAAATTTAAACAGACAATGAGCTCCATGCAGAAGACAGTTCTTTCTGCAGAGGGCATGACCTTGAATAGCTTCTCCATCCAGCTACCTTTGCTCTCTAACCCCCTAACCACACAAGTTCATTGGGCACCTCCAGGTACATGCAGGTAAATGAGGTTTCTGGCCCCTGCCACCTTATTCCTCATCTCCACGCTTTAAAGGCCTGAACGCGAGAAGGGGGTTCATTTTCCAGGGTCTCCTCTACCCTTTCCACAAGGGGCAACAGCAGTGATGTGAACATCTATCCAGTAGAAACCAGACTGAGTCCTTCCCTTTGACCTGCATCAGCAGAGGACTCTTTCTGCACATCAGCTGGGTTAAGAGGAGATGCATCAACTTGCCAGAGAAGGGAAATCACCTGACCTCTCCTGTTGTTTTAACTCAACCCCTTGTACATGGCTTCCTGTTCCCTAGCAGCTGCCACCCCCTGGGCCTTTTGCACACCTTGCTTTGGCTATACCAGCCACACAGAGTGGAAGCACAGCCCAACAGCAGTGGGTGGTGCCACTGAATATGAGCCTCATTGAAGCAATGGTTAGAACAAATACCTACAGGGCAAAATGTTCACGTATCTGTTCTTCTCTTTGTTTTCCTCCTTGGAGGCAGCTTCACATGTGGCCTGGATGGGACATGCTGGCAGAGCCTGAAACAGCAGGAAAAAAGAGATTTCCCATTATACCGTGCAACACTGTAGTAAGTACAAAGCAACTGGCTCTTCATACAGCTGGCAGCTCTACTGTCCTTCACATGCTTTGTAGCTAAAGATCTCCAGATACTTTACAAGCATTAACTTAAGTAATCCCCACAACCTCCAGGGGTAGCATCTTCTGTGCTGGGAAAGAACAGGGTTCTAGGACTTACCTGATGGGACACAGCTGGAAGAACTGGGAAGAGAATAGGAGTCTGGACCCCTGACCCTTATTCTAATTAGGTTATACCAGGAAGGCCAAGCAGAACAGACTATGTTCAAGTCTAAAGAGACAATAAACTGCACACAGTACACATATAACAGTGAAGGGATGAGGGGAGGCAGCCTGGGAACCACTCTGCTCTGCTGAGCCCCTGCCTGGGTCCAGCAGGAGGTCTTTACCTCGAGTGTGAAATACAAGTTCCCACTATAGTCGATACTCACTGTCCTCATCCATCTCATACCAGAAGACCCAAATCAGCCCTTAGCGATGAGTTTTACAGGTCTATGATGCCCTGTTCTCTTTGGGACCTGCTCTGCAGGAAACCTGCTTCTGTCCTAAAGGTAGCATGGCTCAGCCAGCTCTATTCTCATCTGGAAGTCACCTCTGAGCACAGACCGCTCCACTTCAGGATGGGAATAACAAGCCTGCATACTCCGTGGCCTTCCCCTCACAGAGCAGTAGGGCCAAGCTGGGCCCTCCTCCCTGGGAAGCAGGGTGCCATGTTATCCAGGAGCACATGGTGGCAGCAAAGTCTCCTCCAGCACAAGCCCAGAGCCCTCAGCAGCACAGAGAGGCAGGGCTGGCAGCTCTATTCTTCATATTGCTTCTGAATGAGAAAATACCAAGTGCCACCAGTTACGCAGCAGACTGAATCAGGGAAGGAGCTGGCTGGTCCTCCCAGCTTCTGCTGGCTGCCTGGAACATTGTAGGAGGGCAGGGAGTCAGCTCTGAGCATCAGGCTCTGTGAGGAGCTTCTTTCATTAAAAAAAAAAAATGAAAGTAGGATAGAGTTGCACCTTTTAGACTAATTAAAAATGAAATCATCAGAACTGAGTGATCAGGAACAAGTACCAGTGGTACCAGGTCCTGGGGAACAAAGTCCTCTCTCCACAGAACCTAAGCAGTAGTGGAGCAAAGCTACCCTTATTTCCCCACCAAGTAACCATACCTCTGACCCAAGGAGACCCCCATCCCAGGTTACAGGGGACCCATTCTCTGCAGCACATGCCATATTGGCTCTTCCAGGGATAACCAGAGCTAAATGTGCTGCTGTAATGCAGACTGCTCTCCAGAGTGCCTGGATAGAGGCCCATCAACTGTCCCATGCAAGCCACCGAACAGCCAGCAAGAAGAGACTTGAACACAAAGGGGGGAAGGAGCAGGTATTTAGGCCTGAAGGGAATGGAGTGGGGCAGGGTACCCAGCCTTGGAGAGTTCACAATGCCCAGTTAGGGCTCTTTTAGAGGCTGGTTCACGTAAGATAGGAGCCTGTTTCTTCAAGGACCTAAATAAATCATCCTCCTAGTTCTGGGGACAAAGGTTTGTGATCTGGAGACAGAAATTCTCACTGCAACCCCTCTTTCATCCCAAAAGAGCACCAACATGCAGCAGTGCTGATGCAGCAACTGTTGCTACCCTCCCTCTCAGTGAAGTGGTTTCACAACAGTAGGGAGAAGGGAAGTGTTTGGTTAAGGAGACAGAGAGAGCTTAAGGCTCTTTCCAACAGTTGTGTACTGCATGTCTGTCGCATGGGCCCCTCTGTACTCCAAGTCAAGCTGGACCAAAATTCTCCATCCTCCCCTCACCTGGCCTAAGGCTTGGGCCCCCCCCGGCTCAAGCAATTCTCCTCAGGCCCACACTGTTTAACATCTTCATCAGCGACTTGGACAAGGGGGTGGAAAGCACGCTGGCCAAGTTTGCTGATGACACTAAGATGTGGGGCGAGGTGGACACACCTGAAGGGAGAGGGAGCCTGCAAATAGACTTAGACTACAAAAGTGGGCAGATGAGAATAGGATGGGGTTCAACATAGACAAGTGCAGGGTGCTGCACCTTGGGAGAAGGAATCTACAGCATACATACAGGCTGGGGAGCTCCCCTCTTTAAAGCACAGAGGCAGAAAGGGATCTTGGAGTCATTATTGACTCCAAGATGAACATGAGCCACCAATGCCAGACTGCAGCCAGGAAGGCAAGCCTTACCTTGTCATGCATCCAAAGGTGCATCTCAAGCCGGTCCAGAGAGGTGATCCTCCCCCTCTATGCGACTTTGGTCAGGCCGCAGTTGGAGTACTGCATCCAGTACTGGGC